AGTTTTCAGGAATGTTATAATGAAGTTAAGTAAATTTATACAATTAAAAATTTGTGCCCACTAAATCAGAAAATATCTCAAGTAACACTAATGTTATTACTGCGATCTTCAAGGCAGTCTCAAGACCACTATAAACCAGCTTCTAGCCAAAAATGGCCCATTCTAGAAGGGCTTTGAAGACTAAATGTTAAAACTTTTAGTTTTAATTTTATATTCTTAAAGTGTTCTTCAAGGCAACTTTAAATTTATGTAAACTGACGTTTTGCATTTAAAATAGATTTGCAGCAAACTAAATGGGTAACCTTGAAATCGAATCATTATAATTTAATCCTAAAAGCGTTTTATTTTATTAAAGTCGAACCACTTTTGTAAGTCTCTATAATGGCAAACTGGTAATTTTAAATGTAACGTAGAGGGTGAGCAAATTTCGATGTTTTATTTAATTAAAAATGGTATGGAAAAATGGATCTCCCATCCTCGACCTCTTTTTTTGAGAAATACTTAATGGCATTTTCAAAAATTGGCTATAGTGCTCTGTTTTCGAGTTACAAACAAATATTCGCTTTTTTAAATTTTGATTACATGGCATTATCTCGCTTATTTATGAAAGTGAAAGAAAGTAATTTATACTTTCTTCAGGCACTTTTTGATAAGAATCCAGTGGCGTAGTCAATTTTTTTTAAAAATTCTTCAAATTCGAGCATTAAGTTGTATTTTTTTATATAGAACGGGTAGTTGGTTGTGGCATACAAAAATAGACAAATATTTTCCCATTCTAACGATATACAGGGTGTCCGGGAAAATAGGCCTTTACATTTTAACGGATGTTTTACAGAATAGACCCTTAAGGTCAGAAATGTCATTTTATATATTAAAAAAAAAAATCATTTTACCAAAGGAATATTAAATAAACATACATTATTTAGTTTATCGTAAAATAAAACCGATTTTCCAAAAATTGTAGGCATTTAATAGGTTAAGGCATGCATTATCAATTCAATTTTTATGACTTATAATGTAGCTACTAGTACTTACTATTTTTAATAATAAAATTGTAGTTCTAGATTTTTTTAAAAATCAATAAGTAACGTATGTTCTAATAGTTTGGGCACACAATATTTATTTATATACAGGGTATTTCAGAATAAAGTACCGCAAACTGGAATACTTGTAGATTTTAACTAATTATTAAGAAAAGCTAAATATATATAAGTGAATTTCATAAATATATAATTTTCTAAATAGGTATGTATTTGTTAGTTAATAACCATTATTAATTAATACACTTTAAGTATGTCAATAAATTACGTAGAATCAAGGGTTAAGAAACCAATTTATTAATGTAATGTCATTTTTATAACAATCTAAGTATAGGTAAGTGTACAATATTACATTGAGCTTAATTTCTTGCAAAATTTTGATTTCTTTAATTTTTGAAAGATAACAAGGGAACTATTGACCCTACAGGGTTTCGACTATACTTAAATTAAAGCAAAATAAGTGCTCTACAACTTCACTTCCCACGACGTTTCTCGTGAGTATTTTAGTCGATATCTCACTCGAACTTTTTTGAGAAAAATTGTCAATTTTTGACGTGCTGTATCTCGGGACCTATTGGACCTACGGAGCTGCGATTGCACTGAAATTGTATCAAATTTTATCTACTTTAAAAGTGTACAGGGACTTTTTCCGTAGGATGCACCTTTTACAAGTTATGAGCCAAAAACTGAAAGTCCGAAAATAACTATTACGTTTACACTTATTACTTTTGCATTTAATTACTTTTTGATCCAAACTTTTTGAACATCCTATATTTCATAAAAGTTATTATTAATAATTATCTTCCTCACAATTTGTTACAAAGAAGAGGGCTTTTGGTTGATCTTTATAAAATTTTCCAATTTTGAAATTTTTTAGTTTTAGCAGTACACCAAGATCTGCGCTTGGGGGAGGGGTAGGTGGAAGGAAAGATTATTTACTCAATCTATAAGGGGACGTCCCAAGGGACGTCCATTAATTACGTGAGGTGTTCAATGGGGGCGGGGATCAAGCTAAATCTTTCCAAATCTCACTTGGGGGAGAGAGGGGGTCTTTGTAAATCTGACGTAATTTTTTTCTAGTAGAAAACGGTGCAAAGTAAAGTTAAATTAAAGTAAAGAATGTTTCTAGAAATTTTATATTACGGTAATATTCTTAATTACAAGTCTTTGCTAGTCTTTCTTTAAAGTAATAGAACATATTGTTTTTTTTTTAATAATCCAACGCATTTACACCCAAAACACAAATTTTGAAAAATCTCACGTGTGATTAGGGGAGAGAGGAGGGAGGGAGTCAAGGAAAATCTTACGAAATCTCACCAGGAGGGGAGGGGAAGTTAAAAAATCCTCAAAAATACCTCACGTAATTAATGGACGCTCCTTTTTATTTAGGATGACCATATGTACAGCGTTTTGTGGTGGGTCTCAGGGAACCGTCCCCCCCAACGAGTTTAAAATTTTACAATCCATGAGTCAGCATTGCTACTACTACTACTGGGCAAAAGTAATAAGTGCAAAAGTAATTAGTGCAAAAGTAAATAAATGCAAAAGTAATTAAGTGCAAAAGTAATTAAGTGCAAAAGTGATTAAATGCAAAAGTGATTGAGTGCAAAAGTGATTAAGTGCAAAAGTAATAAGTGCAAAAGTAATTAGTGCAAAAGTAATAAGTGCAAAAGTAATAGCTATTTTTAGACTTTCTGTTTTTGGCTTATAACTTGTAAAAGGGTGCATCCTATGGAAAAAGTTTCTGTACACTTTTAAAGTAGACACAATTTGATACAAATTCAGCGCAATCGCAGCTCCGTAGGTCCAATAGGTCCCGAGATGCAGCACTTCAAAAAGTGACAATTTTTCTCAAAAAAGTTCGTGGGACGTGAAGTTGTAGAGCACTTATTTTGCTTTAATTTAAGCACAGGCGAAACCCTGTAGGACCATTCCCTTGTTATCTTCCAAAAATTAAGTAAATCGAAATTTTTTCAAGAAATTACCAATGTAAATTGTTATTAATATTGTACAGTTACCTAAACTTACGATTGTTATAAAAATGACATTACATTAATAAATTTGATTTATTTAATGTATAACACCTACATATTTATATCAGTCGTAGTTGTGAAATAACAAACCTTATCTTTTAGGTACAGGTACCTACCACTTATGGCTGCAAACCTAGTTTTTAAAAACAGAGCACATCATAATTGTTTTTACAGAAAAGTGGCAGGGGTGGAACATCTACTGGGGATGTACACCGGTGAGCTCAACCAAGGAATCAGCGCCGCTAATCCTGTTGAAATTCCTGTCAAGCAGGTGCCAGAGAGCAGGGCTAAAATGCTCTACTTTCTATAAAGTTTGTCAGGGGAAGACCTGCCACAATACTTCTGAATTAGCCGTGGCTAAGTCGGATGAAGACGACGACGTTGATGGCCCCTTTACCACTAGTATCTAGTACAAGATCTATTTCTGCTGCAGGAGTTAGCTGTCCCAGTCCCCCAAAACTATCAAATTAATTTTTATACAATTTTGATACATTTATACCTCATAATAATTGTACTCAAGTATGATTTTTAAACTGTTGTCCAGTGAGTTATCTTTCTTATCCTTTACAAAATTCTTGCAATTCGCGAGGCTATATTTCTTGAAAAATCCGTTTTTCTTAGATTTGTTTTTTCCAGATAATAAGAGAACTATTGACCCTACAGGGTTAAGTTTGTGCTTAAATTAAAGTAAAATAACTGCTCTACAACTTTCTTTTTTATAACTTTCCTGGTAGGTAAAGTATTTTAGCCGATAATTCTCTTCAAGAGATGGCTAAAATTACAATTTCTAACTTTTTCGAAAATGGCAAATTTTTTAAATGCTGTATCTAAGGATTTATTGGACCTATGAAGCTGCGGTTGCGCTGAAAATGTAGCATATTTTGTTTACTTTTAAAGCTTATAGATATTTTTTTCCGTAGGATGCACTTTTTACTAGTTATAAGTCAAAAACTGAAAAAAGTCTAGTAGAGTCTGATTGCAATTAGAAGAACACAGCTACGTCATCATTTAGCAACGTAATTAATTAGTTATCGCCGCCTAATGGGGGTTTAGAGGAATGTTAATATTGTAGAAATATAGGAAATATTGTTTTAGACTTAACAACTTACTTCATTTTTGTTTATTGAAAGTTATAGATAATGCATTCGAAATTCGAAGTAATGGTTATGTCGTAGCTATGTTCGGACCTTACCAAGCAATAATTAGCACAGGTCTTTTAAAGCTACAAATTTAGTTTTACACTATTGGTATCTATTTTATCTAACATCCCAAACAATCAAAACTGCAAAGTTTTGCGATCTAACGCGATTTTTGTGTCTAGATTGACTGGCCTGTTACTACATTTTACAAAAAAAAGATACTCCATCTCTCAGATATCTCAATATTCAATTTATTTTGGTTGGTTAACGTAAATTCTGAACTAGCGAAATTATACTACATACAGTGCTTTGAGTAACCCCACATGAATTCTGTAATAATGTCAAAAATGTATATTTAGTTTAAAGGTATTACGATATTAAACAGTAGTCGTACTCTCGTATAAATTAAATCAATTTAAAGAGTAATAATTTATTCCAGTCTGGTAAAGTCGTCGAAGTCAGTGGCCGGCCGGCGCTGTGCCTCCAAGCAAATTCCTACTGCTAAAAATCGATAGAAGGTTAGTTGTTTCACTGCCAACATCAACGCATAAAACTAACCAGGACCAAATTTAACTGCTCAATTCTCATTATGTAATGAAATAAAAGGAACATTTCGATTATTAATTTACCCCAGAGGTGCGAGGGTTGATAATACTGCCAAGCAGTATTTCTAGATAGTTATTTTGGGATTTAGCTAGGTTTATTCCATTTAGAAATATTCCTACGGTTGACCTATTTAAATTTATAGAACGATTTTGATGTTACTGACTATTACGTGGTATTCTTACCTGCATATTGTGCGTAACCAAATATTCAATGGAACATAACGCGTAAACCACATACGCTCTGACCAGCTCAAAGTTGGTTTTGCTCTTAAAAGCTGCCCTTGGATCATCGAAGCTGGTATCGAGGGGATCTTTGGGGGGATCCACGGCATTGGCTGCATTTTCCACTAAAGTACTGCTGGCGGCTGAGCTCTTGAGCGCGACTTGCTTGAAATGAAAATTTTGGAATTTGCCAAAATTATTTTGAAGCGGATCGAAGAACAAACCGTATTTTTTATAAACACTGAATCGGACCGCAGAACGCAGAAAAGCCATTACACGACAAATGCGATGGGTAGCCTAATTCCGCCAATTACGAAAGAAAATATTTTTTTATTTAACACTGTCTGCCACCTTCCGAATCGCCCGACTGAAGCAACTGTGCGGTTTCCTGACGTTTGCTATTTCAGCCGTCGACATGCGCAACTACTATTGGTGCGGGACAATTGCACTGATGGATGAAAATAAATCTTCTGAAATTGGATAACTCGCCGTTCACCGTCATTCGGAGTACAAAACCTCGTGCTGAGAACGTAATGCTCCTACGCGCTAAATATCCAAAATGTTATAATTTATTTCTATTCCGAATCTTGTATTTCTAATCGTAAATGCGAGAATAGCTTAATATTTCATACTTTGATGTCTATGAAGGTTTAGGTTGATAATGAATAAGATTTTCACATCCTCTTCCAGTGGAATCCAGATGGACCTATTTTAATCAGTATTAAAACGCAGATGTAGGTGTATAAAGACATTTAATTTATATTTAACGACCTAGTGTATTAATCGCCTCTTAATAAAAGAGTTCGTTACGTTCGGCGAACGAAACCCTAATAAAATAAAAAAATCCAACTTCAACTTTTGTAAAAATTGCAATGTTTGATTTGACAGTGTCAGTTTGCTTATACGAGTACCATTACAAAAATACCAATCAATCAAGGATAGTTCACGTTAAAAATTAAATTTTTTCCACGGTGCCGCAAGCCGATTGAAGTTTATTTCTTCATAATATCGTAGTTTTACAAAATATCTTAAGTAGACGGATTTGAGAAAAATCTGAAAATTTTGATTTTATAGAGTTAGAGTATATTATTGAAAATATCTCCATAAATATAAACTTTATAAAAAAATCAAAGGAGACATTTTTTTTGTAGAGAATTTTATTTGCTTCATAATTGTTTTCAATGATTTTTTCTCAAATCTGTCTACTTTAAGAGATATTTTGAAAAAACTACGATCTCATGAAAAAATAAACTACAATCGGCTTGCGGCACGTGTTCTTGTTATTAAAAAAATATTTTTTCATCAAAAGGAAGGTTTTTTAACGACCACTCTAATGCAGGTATATTCATAGAAAAACGGTTATTCATAGAAAGTAAATTATTAATGCCTGATTTTGTCAACATTATCTAGATGAACTGATACACAATCAACGGAAAAATATGTACAGTTGGTTTCATATAAAATGCGTGTATACAATATCAAATAGGTTTTGTTTATATAGCTATACCTACGCTTCTTAGTATGAACTTGGGACACGACTTGCCAATTGTTGTTTCATGAATGGTATAAGAAGGGTGCAAAATAAATGGCGCAATTACACTGAAAAATAACTATTGTATTTACTTGTCTATATATTCGTATTTTATCTAAAATTAATTGTACATAATACATTAGTTTTAGGCACATTATTATTGTCACTGTAACTTTAAAGTTTATTATTGGTAATGGAAAGTAATAATGTAGAAATTTTTTTCTGATAGTTTACCTTACCAATTTCAGTTTGCACTATAGCTATATTAAAAAATCTAATTCTACAATACATTTTTGTTATTAGCCTGATTATTTTTGTATTTTATGGCTCTCTTCTACAAAATAACTGAATAAATGATCGTCATATTCATTAAAGTAATCATTTTCACATAAAAAGATACCAAGATGTTTGTTAAACATTTCAAGGAATGGTTTTGGTAGTGTGAACTCAGATTTGGTTCCTCTTTTATCTCAGATCACAAATAACTATGTTCCAGACTCCGTGAAACTTGCTGTATAGATTCAATCCAGCTTTAAATCAACTAGGTTAGAGCCTAAATATTTAAGGGCTGCATTACTAGCGCATAGATATTTTTAGTCTTATTAGCAAGAGGAAGATTAATCTGCAAGTCTATGAAACATTTAAAATTTATAATTATTGGTAACTTAGATGAACAAAAATTTTGTTCAGGTTTACTAGAATGATGCAATAGACCTAATTAAAATGGAATGTCATCGGATGAGGTTTGATTTGAATACCTCGTAAGAATACTGGTAACGACTTACTAAAAATACAGTAGGAAGAATTATTTTAGACCCCATTACTTATTCAGTGATGTGTAAGTGCATTTAAATAGTCGATGTTGATAGACGCCAGGCCTCATTTCTTAATAATTGGGCATGTTCGTTTCTCTATATTTTATTTCTCTTCGTGTCTTTATATATCTTTGTCTTTTTCTATTTGTGCATGTTTTAACTTTTATTATTCTAATTATTTGAAAAATGGAATAACCGTAAGATTTCTTTTCTTTCCATTTTACTGGTTATATTTTGTCTATTTGGAATCATGCTTGGAGACTCAAATCATTCTCTGTACTGTACATATCATTTTATTCAATTTTGAATTAACTTTGTAAATAAAGAACTAAAAATAACATTAAAATAAATATACTTAGTAAATTTAATTTAGTTTTAATTATACGTTTTATTATTATCGATAGTACCTTGAAAAAAATCATGTGTATCATATTTTGGGTATTTTTAGATGAACATTTTGATTAATAATTACCAAAATAAATATTTTTTTACCTGTAATGTTACTTCCTTTGAAATAAAATAAAAACAAACTTGAATTTCAGATCGTAGATTATTATTATTATTTTTTTTTTTTTGATAAATCTTTCGCAGAAACAATATAGATTTATAAAAAACAACTCAAAAGTAAAAATTAAAATAATTTAATTTCGGATTAACTTTAATCGATGAGTGCAGTTGTCCAAATCTATAAAATTACCGTGTATGAGGCCCTGTAGTAAGTCAGCAGGCGGCTCGTACTTTGACGAGGTTGGTTCACAAATTAGTGAAACATCGCGGAACGAGTTTATTTCTTAGATCAGGTAAAACTCCACAATAACAGGGTCATAAAATATGCAGGTACTATTGTATTATGAGCAATTGCAAAAAGGGGCGACTTTGTGCACGTTGACACCTGTCAGTTTATATTTAAAAAATCGAATAAAGTCCTTAGATGACAGATAAAATATTATCTAGTTCTGAAGAACATAGGACGATGTATTTTTCTTTAATTTAAATAGTTTTTTCATTATTCTTTTTAGACAGTGGGTACATAAAGTAACGTTTAAATTCAATGATTTTCTTTAAAAAGTTCGTAAAGTCGACTTTCTTTTTATTGGTGTCTATATACGGCTACGACAACTTAGATCATTAGTATGAAGTCAAATTTCAAATTTATATCCTTCTTTTTATAAAGTTCGCGAAATTGACAGGAGTGCGTTTAGAAACCCCGCACGACGCGTCTGAGCATTATTCTAATGCATGTGGTCAGACGCGCCGTGCGAGGTTTCTAAACGCACTCTAGTTGGCATGTCTAATGACAGCGCAGTCAATTTTCTATGTAATTCAATGTAAAATAAAGTGATTTTTTAAAAAATTGATGAAAAGAATCAAAATAGTGTGAAAAAAAGTACCTGAGTACAAGCCTGAGGGCTATGAGTACAAGTAACATGAATGACAAAAAACATCAAAGCAAGATTTACGTCGTTTCAGATTGTAAAAGAGGATAAATATCAAATGTAAAACTAAAGAAAACACAAGAAGAAATCAATTCAATGTCTTTTTAAAGCTTTTAATGTAAGTAAATTAATGTATTCATGTCTAAATATAATATTTATTGTAAACTAGTCACAATATGTATCTTACGAACTGTAGTTTATTTTATTACAAGTTTCTATAATATAAAATTTTACAGTTGTAGACAAACAACAATAATTATGCATTAAATTTAACTTACTAGAAAAGAAAATTTATTTTTATAGAGTTTTAATGTTAGATAAAGAATTGCTACTGTTATTTTTTTTTTCAACTCCAATTGTCATTGTAAATATTTTTCATAGGATACTAAACGTTTAGAACAGTAGCAGCATATAGATAGTTCTTAGTGCCGATAAAGTACTTTCTAAAGATGATGCAGTTCTATACTTTTTAGAAGATATTATCAAATATTATGAGACTATTTTTACTGTTAGCAAAATAAAAAATCTGATGTGTCCAACACATGACTTTCCTATCTAGTTTTATAGGCTTTTTCCGGTTATTTTGTACAACTTATTGCAGCACCTCTATAAATATTTAGAGGATAAACTAAATATATACATTTTCCCATACATCTACCTCGAAACATTTTTCTATAGATATTCATTGAAAAGGAAAATACTGAAAAATTTAAATTTAGCACTCTTCTTCCAATTTTTCCATTATGGCCCATTTTAGAAAAATCATAACTAAACAAAAATTATAATGATCGATATCGCAAACAACTTTTAGTTCAACAATTTTCATAAAAATCAGAATTTTGCATATTTTGTCAAATTTCTCGAATACGGACCATTTCAGGAAATTTTGACATAAAGCAAAAATTATAGATAATAATATTAGAAGTAACTTTTATTTGAACAATTTTCTTCTCCAAACATAAATAAGAGACATATTCCATAAAATATAAAAACGGCCTCCCATAAAGTACCCCCCCAGATGTTCCGACTTTGACCAAAATTTAATCATTTCACGTCAGGCCGAAATAAAACTTAAGTTTAAAATTTAATGTTTTTTTTCTTTATCCGTTTTTGAATTTTCTTCAAAATTTGAAATTTACACATTTTTCTCAAATATCTCGAATACAGTCCATTTTAGAGAAATTATGTATAGAATAGAAATTATAGAGAATTATATTACAAACAACTTTTATTTAAACAATTTTTATAAAAAAATATTTTTTTTTCATTTTGTCAAATTTCTCGAATACGGACCATTTTAGGAAAATTTTGAATGGAACAAAAATTATAGATAATTATATTAGAAGTAACTTTTATTTGAAGAATTTTCTTCTCCAAACGTAAATAACAGATATATTCCATAAAATATAAAAATGACCACCTATAAAGTACCCCCCCAGATGTTCCGACTCTGCCCACACAGGCACACTAATAGGCACACGCATGCGCACGCGCACACACACACACACACACACACACACACACACACACACACACACACACACACACACACACACACACATACACACGAGACATCATCCCGAAAATAGTCAGAACGGATTCAGTGGACCCCAAAACGTAAAAATTCGTCGAAAACTGGAGGTCGAAAAAATCATGATTCCTATACTTTCCTTATCTGTATACAGATAGGAAAGTAAAAAACATGGTATGGCAAAAAATATCGTAAAAAAACTGTAAAAAATTTTAAAATAACGTTTTAAATATATTAAATACCTTAATTTTATTAACTAAAATTTCATTTAATTTTTTTATGCTTAGTTATTAGTGTTATTACTTACTGCAATGTTTTTTTTTGCAGCAGGTGGTGTTCCAAAAATAGTTGAATCAGAACTAAAAACCCATACATTAGATATACATACATATAGAAAATAAATAATGTTTAGAGGTAAACAAAAAATTAATATTTTGTATTTATACCTGTTGGATAAGTCATCCAAAAATAGAAAGCCCTCACACCGTCTGCGAACCATTCTACCCTCTGAGCCATCTACTTTTAATTCCCACATTTTAGAACAAACTTCAAAACACTGACTTACCGTAGGTTTTTTTTTTAAATATAAAATCTCTTATTTTATGATAAGGCCCATCTATCCTATCCACTGATGTTGTACAATCTAGAAATCTTTGCCCATCACATCCTTGTTCTTATAAAGTTTTTAAACTAAGGGTGCAGTTTAATTTAAATTTAAATAATGAAAACGTCACTTGCTTACAATTTAATTAATTTTAAGGAATTAAACATTATATATAATTTAAATCCAATAAGGTTTCACAATAAAAATTACCTATTAAAATAATGATGTCCAAACAAACCGTAGAACAAGCTTTCTAAATATGTATAGTCTACATTTTTTAAATTATTTGATATATTTACTTTAAAATTTACATGGTTCGTGATTTTAGGTAAATTAATCTAAAAAACAACAAAATTCAGTGATTCATATTGTATTAGATTGAAACATTTTCGTTTTTTACGTTGATGAAACGCTCAGGGGCAGGTGGACCAAAATTATCTTTCTATTGTACGACTATGAGATATAAGAACTAAATTATTTTGTAGACTGTTCAACCGTTGTGCCTTAAACATTTCCAATGTAGGTAGTCGTTTTACTTTGAGCGAATATTTTTCACGAAAGTGTAAAATATTATATCGCCTATGTTTTTCGCGGTTCTAATACAGTAGTTAGACATCTTGCAAATACACTATACAGGGTGTGCGGGAAAATGCGAAAGGTCTCTCGGATTCAGATAGAACATTAAAAAATAAGATAAGTTCCCATAATTTTTTTTTCCTAGTGGCCCTCTCTACGGAGATACGGCTTCCAATAGGACGCCACTGGAAATTAGTTTCAATGGAGTAATTTACGGGGCTGCGACATTATTTTTGTATTCGTGTGTTTTATAAAAACAATGATTTTTATATTCTTGTACGTCGTTTGTACAGAAATCATTATAACATAGCAAGAATGAAAAATATCCCAAGTGCAAATTTAATTTCTAGTACTCTTAAACTTTATTTACCAATGTTTAATTAAATTTGCAGTAGGGACATCATTCATTCTTGCTATGTTATAATGATTTATGTATAAACGAAGCACAAGAACATAAGAATCATGGTTTTTATAAAACACGATGTAGCCCCATAAATCGCGCCATTGCAACTAAAACTTAACACTGTTGACCACCGTTTGCCAATTACCTATTTTCTCAGGAATGTGCCTATTGCGCCAGCGGACGTATTGATAAACGAAAATATTTCTGAGACACCCTTTATTAAATATTTTAAATTGGTAAATCCACTACAATCGCATCCATTTTGAATACGTAGAAAATACAAAAAAAAAAACGTTTGCCAATACCCAATTGCTTGAGTGTAAATAGGAAGATCAGTCAAAGAGGAAAGATAGAAAAAAAATATTCAGGATATTCTAAATTAATTAGGAAATTATCGGAAAATCTTAATTTTTTTTTAAATAATACCGAGCATTGTATTATTAGAATAATTTACCTAAACCCACGTCAAACTTTAAAATTACTTCGTAAACTTCTTCATTTCCTTCGTTTGATATGCCATGGAATATTGGGCTTGCTCGGCCTTTTCTATCATCGCGTCAAGGCTACTCAGATCTTTATCTAAGGCTTTCGCTAAATCACTCTTTCTGGTTGGTGCACTGTTGTCGGAAGACTTCGGTGTTTCCAGTGTCGCTTCTGGATTGGAACCGTTTATATTAGTTTCGTTGGCTTTTACGGTTTTATCCGCTTCTTCGTGTTCAACGTCAATCGAAGATTGTGAGCTGAAAGAACCTAAGCGGGTTTTTAAACTGCCTGCTATAGATCCACAAGATACCTAAAAATGAGGAATATCTAATAACTATTTGATTGACCATTGGTCTAAGATCCGAAGTAAGGTCGACCTTCACCCATCTGTTTAATGAATGAAAATTTATTTTTATTAAATAATAGTTATTTATGATATAAGTGCTAACAGTGATATTTTATTTTGTGAGAAGGGTGGTTTGGAACACCACGCCGAAGGGGGAGTGACACTATTTTATCTACAAACACCATTAAAAGTCCAAATTAACGCATACCTATTTTACATTAATTAATTGATAAAATAATAGCCTTGAGATTATCAGTTTTGAATCCAATTTCATCTAATCTATTCATGAAACAAGTTGTCAAGGTAAACAAAAACCAAATATATTGATTTGTCTTTGTTGACAACTAACGTCGTTCCTCGATGGAAAGTTATCAAGAAAATGAATTTCTACCGCCGGAAATTGAAGAAGCTGCCAATAAAGCTGCTGTTGAATCGGGCGACCTTACTTTCGGATCCTGGACTATATCACTTTGAAATAATTTCGCAAAAATTACATCCAGAAATTTGTTAAAAACGTTTTTTTTGGGCTTCTATAATCAGAAAATTTTAATTTTGGAGGGATTGAAGTTACATCCCCATTTTTATAGGTTGGTGGGGAGGTTATTCAATGGAATTATTAAAGTAGTCATGTCACAAAGGCGAGCGGCCATACTTGTACTTTAAATTAACCGAAAAGGGTGATAGTTATTGAAATTTTACAAGTATAGTTAACATTTTTAAGTGGAATTGTGTAAAGAAACGATTTTTGTCCAAAGTACCGATTTTTGTCCAAATAACCGATTTTTCCCAAATAATCTATTTTTATCCAAATAATAGATTTTTGTCCAAATAACCGATTTTTGTCCAAAGAATATCGGTTTTGTCTAAAGAACCGATTTTGCCTAAAGAACCGATGTTTGTCCAAAGAACTGATTTTTGTCCAAATAATGATTTTGTTCAAAGAACCGGTTTTGTCCAAAGAACTGTTTTAGTATGAAGAACCGTTTTTTTTTTGTCCAAAGAACCAATTTACGTCTAAAGAACCGATTTTTGTCTAAATATACGAACTTATCCATATAATAGATTTTTTGTCTAAAAAACCGATTTTTGTCCAAAGAAATGATTTTTGTAAAGAACCGATTTTTGTCCAGAAACCGATTTTTGTCCAAAGAATCATTTTTTTTGTCCAAAGAACCTATTTTGTGCAAAGAACTGATTTTTGTATAAGGAACCAATTTTTGCACAGAGAAACGATTTTTGTCTAAATAACCGATTTTTGTCCTAAGAACCGATTTTTGTCCAAATAACCGATTTTTGTTTGAAGAGCCGATTTGTTTAAAAAGTCGATTTTGTCCAAAACCGATTTTTGTTTAAAGAACCGATTTTCGTCTAAAGAACCGTTTTTGTCCAAAGAACCGATTTTTGTCTAAATAATCTATTTTTGTCCAAATAACCGATTGTTGTCCATGAATGGATTTTTGCCCAAATAACCGATTTTGTCCAAATAATAGATTTTGTCAAAATAATAGATTTTGTCCAAATAACCGATTTTTGTCCGACGAACCTTTTTTTTCAAAAAAACTGAACTTGTTCAAATAATAAATTTTTGTCTAAATAACCTATTTTTTTGTCCGAAGAACCGATTTTTGTTCAAAAACCCGATTTTTGCACAAAGAACCTATTTTTTGTCCAAATAACCAAGTTTTGTCCATAAATGGATGTTTGTCCAAATAACCGTTTTTTGTCCAAGTAATAGATTTTTGCCCAAATAACCGATTTTTGCCCGAAGGAACCGATTTGTTAAAAAAAAACCGATTTTGTCCAAAAAAAGATTTGTGTTCAAAAAACTGATTTTTGTCGTTACGTTACGTTTACAAGTATTATGGTCCCTCTTGATATTTGATATTAAGGTCATTGTATTTCACTATTTTTAAAAGTTATTTAGGGTGGGTACTTTTCGTTGGGACACCCTGTATATTTAGAATGAAAGAGAATACCTTCATTTTGCTTATCTTGGATTGGGTTTTCTTTAAAATGTTGTTTAGTTCATCCAATTTTCCTGTCACTCGACCCATGGCTTCAGTTTCCAGATCAGCTTCCTGAAAAAAATATGTTTTGTTTCTTAATAATAACATTTAATTGGATAACATTTTTTTTTAAACAAGAAAAGTAAAGGAGGTTCTGTATACATTATAAATTACAATGAAAATCCCCCCTCCAGTATAAGCGGGAACTAATTATTATAAATTTAAAATAAAAATTTATTATTATTTACCCATACTATTTTCAATAATAAAAAAATTATATTCCAGCAGGGTTATTCTACTAAATTTATAGCCCGGCTACAAGTTGGATTTTGGCTTGAACTTTATATGTTCCTAACTTCAAAATCCAACTTGTAGCCGGGCTATAAACTTTTAGCCGAGCTATAAATTTAGTATAATAACCCTGCAGGTGTATTTATAACTTTATTACTAGTCATTTTATTTTTATTTTACTTGTTCCAATCATAATCTTACAGTTAGTCCCTGGCGTTCTATACAGGGTGTTAAAAAAAAAGTGTCACAAAATAAAACGGGGGGTAGTATGGGCCAAAATATGCAGAAAAGTCTTAATAAACATATGTCTGCAAATGAATGGTTTCAGAGATACGGAGTGTTTTGTATCATTTTTTGATTATCTTTTTTCATTCTCAAAAACTTGCTTTTCTTATCGGAGTCTACCGATGTTTTTTCATAGATACTATTTGCAGTTATTATTTTGTTGTGGGTGAATAATTTTATAAATTTTCGTTATGCCTGTTTACATTAATTAATAATTGTTAATATTGAATTAGCTGACATGTATTTTATGTACGGTCGTGCAAATGGCAATGCGAGGGAAGCGCTACGTCAGTATATCGACGCTTTCCCTAATCGCCACATCCCTTCAGTTCGTGTGTTTGGAAGATTGCACCAAAGATTGCGTGATACAGGTAAATTTGGGAAACAGTCACATGATTCCGGGAGACCAAGGTCGGTGTCCACCCCTGAGGCAGAAGAAGCAATTTTAGCACGAGTAGAAGAGAATCCAGAAACTAGTGTGCGAAGAATATCAGCGGAGGTAGGAATTGGGGCTCCTCTGGTTTGGAGAATCCTCCACGAGCAGCAGCTTTACCCGTACCATCTTCAACGAGTGCAAGCTCTGAATGCACCTGATTATCAAGCACGTTTGGAGTTTTGTCGATGGTTTCTGAGAAATGATGCTGAGGATCCCAATTTTATTGCACTAATTCTTTTTACTGATGAGGCAGGGTTTACACGAAATGGAGTTTTTAATTTCCATAATTTGCATATGTGGGCCGACGAAAATCCCCATAGTATCGTGGAATCCAGGCATCAAGTTCGTTTTTCATTAAACATTTGGATGGGTATTTATGGCGACTGGTTACTAGGTCCGATTGTACTACCTAACCGATTAACGGGAGCTGACTACTTAAACTTTTTGCAGAACACATTGGGTGATCTTTTAGATGACATTCCTTTAATACAAAGAAATCAAATGTGGTTCCAGCACGATGGTGCTCCGGCGCATTTTTCAGTTGCCGTAAGAGAACATTTAGACGGATCCTTTGGTCGAAGATGGATAGGAAGGGGCGGACCTGTGCCATGGCCTGCAAGATCGCCTGATTTAAATCCGCTTGACTTTTTTCTTTGGGGACACTTAAAAAATTTAGTGTACGCCACTCCTGTGAATAACCTCGAAGAGCTGCAGCAACGAATAGAGCACGGATGTCATCGAATCCTAGCCAATGAGGGTGTTTTTGGAAAGAGTTCGACAGTCCTTTCGGAGGAGATGTCGTAGCTGCATAGAAATGGAGGGAGGGCACTTTGAACATCTCATTTAACTCTATGTTGTTATTGATTGTTTATAAATATCATTGTTTTTTTTATAATAATAAAAAATTGTTATAAACACAAAATGGTCCGTATCTCCGAAACCGTTAATTTGCGGTCATATATTTATTAAGACTTTTCTGCTTATTTTGGGTCAAACTATTCACCATTTCATTTTGTGACACTTTTTTTTTTAACACCCTGTATACTTTCCGTTATCTATTCACTAATGTTGCTAGTTGGAAGGGATAAACATTGTATCGCACGAAAATAATTATTTTCATCACACCCTGTATTATAAAACAGGAAAAATATCATTGTCATGCTATATATACTTCTTTTGTATGTTAGTGATCGGTGAATTTGCCTATATGAGTGTAAATGTATTGCATCGAATTTTAATGAAAAATTGTATTGTATAGCTACTAAAAAGTTTTGAATTTAAATTGGGTGTACAAAAATTTTAAATTATCTATCCTAACTTTCAAATATTACAAACATTGATAGATTAGACCATTTTATTATAATAAAACATTATCGACTATTAAATTTTACTATTTGTATATACGAACCTTAATATTTTCGATATCTTCATCTTCCTCTTTTACTTCTTTTTGTTGTCGTTCTTTCTGGTTTTTCATAAATTCATCGTAGTCAGGTTTATCTATTCCCAATAGCTCCGCCCTCATGCATTCATACTCGTAAGTTCCTTCAGCCATATTATCACAAGGAATATTACTAAGAACTATATCAGAAACTACTATATTTACAATAATTTAAAGAACGTTACCAGAAATATCACATGGTTATCTGAGAATTGCAAATTCTCACTTGTTGGCAGCACTGCCACGTAACTATTATATTTAATCAATAC